AAGTTTGTAGATTGCTGCAATTATGCAAACAAAGTAACGCATTGGAGTCCATGTATCGGTTCTCATGTCTCTAAAAACAAGTTCATTGTATATTCATATCAAAATATTGTCTGTCAATTTTTACAGCCAGTCAGCTCCGTTTGTAGTCATAAATCAGCACACGACGTTGATTGAACGTTGTTTGCCTTCATCATGAGGTAATTGCGTTCTACTTCTTTTATGAATAAACCTGCAATAACAAAGGACATGTCAACAACTTCTTACTTCAAACTGTCATTCGATCAAACTAGGGGAAAAAACGAAAGAAAGAATTGCACAGCACATGGCTTGTACAATGATATCATACCAATCGAAAACATTTTTCGAGGACTTTCGAGGGTTTTTTTCCCAATTTTTTGTATATGAAAATTGGTTTACAAGCGTAACGTCAAACAATCTGACGTCCAAGAATGCGCTAATATATTCCCAAACTTTTTTGAAAACCGTTTTATTTTATGCTTAGATCGGCCTCTTTTACATAAAAAAAATCCCGTAATAATATAATCAAATATCTTTATTTCACTGCTGTGACAATAGAGACTGTCTTCCATATTCGAGAAATACATGTGGTATTAAATGGGAAACCATTAAGTATTATTCTCATTGTTAGAGTAACAAAACGAAATTCATTAGCACAAAAATATAGGGAAATTGAACTTTTATTCCTTTCAGTATTCTTTAAAGTTTCTATGTTACCTTTTCTTATTTTATAAAACAAGTGGATATCGATTTGTAATCAAAATAGTATTTTATAACTCAAAAACGATTAATTGACGCCAAAATTTGAACAATAATTAATTGAAAATCATGTGAATAATGTCAGGCGTTTCGGAATGATATCTTTTTTCAATTTTATCAATAACACCCACAATGTTAGTGTAAATAAATTTCAATGATATCATGTTCTCAAAAAGTGAGCAAGGGAAATGACAACGAATCCGCCAAACCTATTCATGTATAAGCAATACGTCGGGTTTATGCTCTGTATTTTAAACAAACAAGCACTCAAATTGGTCAAATTGTTGACATTAACGAGGACATGGTGATCTGATTTAGGATGGTAGCGTTGTAGGTCTTTTCCCTTCAGCTGACGACATCGGTTGCGCAAACTGTAAATTAGAGAATAAAATTGTGTTTACCTAACGAAATACGATAAAACAAAACCAAGAACCAAACGAAAAATCCCTGCTATCAACCTATCATGGACATGTTTGGTTTCATGTTTCCTAGTGTCTATTTTGTTACTTGGCATTTAGCCATATGTTAAACTCATGCCGTTTACATAATATGATTGTCTGAATCTGTAACAAATATGGAATGGTTTATGCATTTTGTTCAAGATACCTTTATGTGGTAAATGTCGATTGATAGGAGCAATTATTATTCTGCGGGAAGCATGTATGATTACCTTAAGAGGATAAACTCAAATATGTCTGGATTTTTTGTTCGTTATTTAAACTATTGTTACGCAATTACGGGACGGAAGTAATCGATACATAGGTCAAGACGTCTTTGTCCTGCTCTTTTATAGGTAAGAACATCTGAGATCGAACAGCGCATCCTTATCTAAGGTAACTCTAAGTAACCGCTTTGATGTAGAACAGTCATAAAGATGAATAGACAATTCACATTGATTGATAATATATAGCGATATAACATGGCCATTTATTGTAGTCTTCAAAGCAATATTAATTGGAATTCAACCTTTCACGTCTTATAGATGTAATCAGAATAGCTGGCATCTGCATTGGTTGTGCTAGATAAAGGATGATTATAATTCCCATCACTACCGCGGCTTTGTGAGGTTTTTGAATACATTCATTTCCCAAAGAGGCGAAGCGTAAAGTATTTCGACTGTTGCTGCTTTGTTTTATGGTAAAACTTTTTAGGACGATTTTCATATCTCGATCGGAATTCATAATTGCTATACTGGGGTATGTTTCACCACTCCGGTGTCTAAACAATCACAAATGTATTTCAACATTTAATTTTTTTTCCTCTCGTGTTTGATATCTTTATTTTACACATCTTTTGATGTCCTCTTCTAATGTCCTACCTCATGTTGTTGAAAATTATAGGGAAGATTTATGGCCGCCACATTTATCTCATTGAGAAAGATATTCTATTTCTTTGTGCGACATGAAGCTGGACCTGCTCGATGTACCATAGTTTGCCTGTTGGTTCAAGTGTGTATACTTGTTTTCAATTAATCGAGAACGTGACATTACTCATCTAAATTTACCAAGATTTACATGCTCGGTGTCGTCAATGTAGCAGAAGTCGCTTACTCTTCTGGAACACCTGGTCTTCATTCTCAAAAGAACTTTGTTTGATTCCTTGTGTATTTCTTTTCTTCATATTTTGGGTGCGCCTTCTTGGTTTTTCCAAAACCTAAAGTAAACATATTTTTATCATCATTAAACATATATGGCAAGAATTATTTCATTCCTTCCGCAAGCTATTGCGATATCTGTTTTTTTCCCCCACCGTAATAAGTAACAATTTTAATAGGAATGCATTTCGCAACAATTTCATATCTACAAACAATCCGTTCGTAGTCAGTTAAACATGGTTCATGTTTACTTGTTACACTTAATAAACTTTTGTTATTTATATCTCATTGCACATGGACTTTGTTATAAACCTGAAAGGCTTAGTTGTTTAGATGGAGAAAAAACAGGATTCCCTGTCTGCGGTCAGTACCTGGCGAATGCCCCACGTAATTCCCGAACCTGCGAACCAGATGTGAAGGGCAAGTGATAAAGGCTCTCAGACTTCTTTAACACACGGCCACAGTAGCTAAATATATAAGATTAAATACATATTTATCAATTCATTATTACGATAGCAATGTCTATCAAACTATAAATATGGTTGTTACGTACATCATCGAAGTCATCAGACTGAGTAATGAATTTATTCTGAGATGTACAAGCTAGCTTTACACGAGTTGACTGACTATGTCGCTGTCACAACAAACTGATCACACGTCAAGCGTCCTGTCTACATCACTTCCGCTCGTTACACAAGCAGATGTTATTGTTTGTATTTGAACCTGACAGCAAAGTATCTTGTCAATGTTGATGAGATGGCAATGGTAGGCTTGTTAATCATAATAGACCAGGTTCAGATCAAAAGTCAAGCGCCATACAGTTATTTCATGCACTTCTAACGAGTGAAACTAGGATAAGATTGTGCGGTGTACTAAAAAGATTGAAACGCAGAAAAAGTACATTGTAAACTTATTTTATATCTAATCAAGATATACATAAGAATAATTATTTTAAAAAAAACTTTTGAAGGAGTGTATCAATTTTTGTCAGATCTGTTGGATACAATGTAGGATTCAAGTAGATTAAAAATCTTTGTAACCCGATTTGGAGATGACAAAATCCTACTGTATATACAGTCTTCTATGCTCAAGCCCACTTCTGCAGTATATGCAGTATTTAAGAGATTCAGACTTAATCATGCTTCCCAATACTGGTTTTCATTCTCGGAATTCAGCGTTCACTGCGATATGTTAAACGTGAATATACCTTTCCTTTAGAGTTGTCCTGTGTTATTGATTACAATTACAAAGAATGTATTATTCGATTTTAAAACCTAAGTAACGAGTAGACTTGTCAGGGAAATGTCACCGACAAAACACGCGCGCAATATTTGAATCATTTCGTTGATGTTATTGTCATGTCGTAAATGCACAGGGCCTTAAAAGGGGGCGATGTTCATTACGAATTACAGCACATTTAATACTGCTCACCATTTTTAGTATTAACTAATTTTCGAATCAAACTATCTTTGAACATAATCCGTAGATTTCCCAAGATTTTAAACCAAGGATGAACATGTAAACCGGCTGTAGTGTTTGTCGGTACAGTTGCGTTGTTTCATTTTTATCTGCAAATCATGAATACATATTTACATGAGTGGATGTGTATTGTGATCAGTACAGACCTACCTGTGTGGTATTAAGATATGTTTCGAAAAAATAACATTGCCACAGAAGAAGAGAATGAAATACAAAACACTTGTCGATTAAAAAATGTTATTGAGTACTGGAAAAAGACTAGATGTAAAGAAAGAGAGGTAGTGGAAAACGGTGAACAGTGGATAAGTGAGAAAGTGGACAGGGATGGATAGTGGAGATGTGTAAGAAGTGAGGAAGGATGACTTACAGCGACCATTGGGTATGTTGAGTTGTAGTGAAGGATGAACACTGATGAGTTGTAGAGAAGAATGAACACTGATGAGTTGTGGAGAAGGATGAACACTGATGAGTAAGACTTGCAAGTAGAGAAGGATGGACAAGGGTGAGTAGCGGAAAAGGCTAAGAATGGTTGAAAGGTGAGTTGCGGAGAGTGGGTAGTTCTGAAAGGGGTATAGTGGATAAGTATGAATAGGGAATCAAGGTAAATAGTGGAGAAGGGTGAATAGGCAATATAGGCAAGAGATGGGGAAAAGGTGTGTTGTTGAGAAGCTAGAGATGTTGAGACAGTGAATGGTGGTTAAGGATGATTTTAAGAAAACTTTAAGTTGTGAAGGGTAAAAGGTCGAAAGTGGTGAGAAGGGTGAATATTGGAGGAAGATGAGTTCCAAGAAAGATGAATTGTGGAAAATGTTAAGGCTGAATAGTGGAGAAGGGTGAAAAGTCGATATTTGTTAATAGTGGATGAGGTGTAGAAAATGATGAATGGTGGAGACAGTTGAGTAGTGGAGAAAAGTTAGTAGATGAAAAGTATGAGTAGTAGAGAAGGTAGAGTAGTGACGAATGATATGTGGTTATGTAAGGAAAAATAGTTGATAAGGATGAGAAGTGGAAATTGAAATATATAATTCCATTATCATCTTCATTTCGTTATTAATACTCAACAGAATATCGCTTATAGACTGTTGATGAAACAATATCCATAATTACGTAATTCTATACCTAATAACAAACCTATATGAATTTTTTCCAGTTGATCTTGAAGAAGACAAGATGATAACGGTATTGCTGGATGGTGAGGAATCAACACTTGTATTCTGTGATCGTCCGGAGGAGGTAAACGTCCTTTTCAAAATACGAGCTATCACTTTCCACAACATCGAAGCTATTATATGATCATTTTAATGACACATGGTGATAGGTTTTATCGAATTTAAATATTTCTTCAGAACGTATATACCAAATAAACAGGACTGTGATATATAGGAATACGATGTCCTGGGTTATAATTAAGTGATATTGTGGTCAGGCTCCAGTTAAGTCGAATGATATTACGTTCATAGCTCAGTGAATACGAGCGATGCAGCATTAAGACAATCCTAAGAATGGCCAGGGTAGATCACATATCGATTAAGCTGTACACATAGCTTCATTCTATGAAAAAGAAGCCTATCAAACTACTACACTAGATTAAACTTCATTATCCTTTATCGAACGTTTATGCACAATCTTGCTTCATTATACAATAATATCGCTTGTTAACACCCGACTTAATTTCATTGATCAAGCCATTCATTACAATTACACTCGTCCGAAAAATATCGAACGCTATGTAGCAGATAATTAAAAAAAAGAACTTGCTGAAATACAAGGTTTCTTTGGTACTCAAGTCTTTCGATAAAGGGAAGTTTATTTCCCCCTTTTTACGACATTGGTATTGATCTTACCAAGACACAATATAAAGCAATCGACCGGTTTACACATTCAGATATAACAGATACTGTGAATGTTTTGATGGTCTTTTAAACATGTCTGATATTTAGAAAATTGTTCTGTTAATTCGAAATTGTCCCTTTAACTTGTTTCTATTAAGCATGGTCCCACACACTAGTCTTATTGATTGACAGGTGATATGATAACTGATTCATTTTTCTATCATGCTTGATGGATTTGTATAAACGCTTTTTTTTCTAATAAACATCTTTTGTCGTCATAAGTAATGAACTGTGTGTGTCATGTTTAATGAAATGTTAGGGTTGATATAACACATTCTGACCGAAAGTCCAGTCAATGAATGTTTGATGTTAAACGGACTTCAAAACAGTAGGTTAGACACTATTGCTTAATGGCGGAAATTGTCGATGATGACCGGGAAGTACCGAGCATTAATGGCCGTGACGTAAGCAGTCAACATCGAGATGTTGACAGGTAACCATTGTTCTGGGGCTAACATTTGGAATGTCATGTAAACAGAATAAATAGTAAAGTATACAAATTAAACAACATTTTTTCTAGTGAAAATAGTCTACAACACAATAACAAAATACCAACATGTCAAGATAATCATAGTCCAAACTCAAATTCAACAAAACTAGAAAGCAAAAGCAAAATATGTACAAAAGAAAGATCTACACGTCGACTCCTGAAAAAAGAAATTCAGACTAGATGTTTCAGAGGAGTGAGCGGCTTCTGCTCCATTAAAGTAATTAATGTAAATCTTAGTCAATCCAAGTAAGTAATGCCACATTCCCAAATGAGAACAAAAGTATAAAACAACGGAGCCACCAGGCAAAGCAATGAGCATTAAACACGTCAAGCTTCACAAAGCAGAGAAAAATTCTCAATGAGATTAATATTATGACGACTGTAAAACGTCCCCATAATTTTCATCAACTGGCATCTTTTAAATCCCTATGTTACGATTGTGTCTTGTATGAAAATCCTGATAACGGGAACACGATATTGAAATACTAATCAACATATAAGCACAGGTTAGGGAAGCAGGTACGCAGGTATATCCAAAAATCGAAAACTCAATAAAGGGAAATTGAAATTATCCCACTTATCTTAAAGCTTGGTGGAAAGATGTCCACGTTTGTTCCATTGCAGGAAAAGATCAAGATAAGCGGCTGAGGTATCCCAAAATGTTTTAAACACAATGATTGTTTCAGACAAAAGAAGACATAGGTCCTGCATCATTAGGGAAACAATCGTCTTGAGGCGTTTTCGACCGGCGTTATCAACGTCTGTTTCAAACAATCATCATGCACAATGTTCATCTTCTTCGTAAAAGTCAAGTATGCAAATAGTTCGAATAAAATAAGACACTCATGGAATAATCCGATATAAAATATAACTAAATTGCGATATATAAAAGGTTTCTATTCAAGGAAATCTTCTTGGTTTTTCCACGGCATCAGAGCACTTTTTATGTTTCGGAATTATTAAAGTCCATACCGGAAGGCGACAGTATTGATCTGTTTCGTGAGATATATACAAGATATCGCGTTTGTTATCGAATCAAGTTCTACAACAGATAACCCCGTTGTGAAGGGCTGTCATTTCTGACCTGTCGATAGAAATTTCTAACGAAGAGATATGACAACTATGACCTGACCGGTAGGGGAAATTTGTCCATTTCGCCTAATTCAATGATGAGGTTAACAATTACAGGATCAATATTGATGTCTAGTTCATTAAAAAAAACCAAACATCTAGATGTCTGAAGCCGCCGAAGAAGCCATAGAGGTAAAGACATTGGTCTATAAGTCCTGTTTTGTAATATATTTCCATGCGACAGTTCTCTCGAATCTTAATGACAAATGGGCAAGCAGTATATGTATGGTTGCAAGGCGTAAAAATGTCGTTAGCATAGACTGACAAATAACACGTATTACATGAGTCCAGACAAACACAACAGAATATACATTCAACTATCTCATTTTGCTCGACAAAAACCAGAAAACATCCTATCTTTCGTCCATTCCCTAGACAAATACTCGTCAGAAATCAGCACCATCTGCACTGTCTTGTCTGTACACAGCAAGTATGTTTTTATCTTAAGAACTGATTTATTATTGGCGATCAAATCGACTAATAACACCAGGCTCACTATTGTGTATATATATAGTACAATGTCTTAATGATGGGAAGTTATTTATATGGTAATGAGAAAAATATACATTTTACTTTTGTTTTGAGTCTTAGAGAAACGACTATGTAAAATTAACAACCAAAAACAGTAACTTATAAGCTAAGTTGTAAGCTGAAATTTTACAAACCATATAACGAGAGACTGAGTAGGAAATAACTTACTAGTTTTCAACCGATAAGGAAAGAGTATGAAACAGCAGGACGACAACATTATGCAGACCTAAGGTCTTCGCATTAAGTTTTTGATATTGATACTTTATACTCATGGTACTGTATATCGACATTGAACTTTATAACATCGCACCATTGAGATTTATTTGGGAAATGGAAATGAAAGGGAGTCACACTGTGTGTAAACTTCCTCTCACGATGGTAAAAGTATGACTATGAGATAATAAGAATAAGATGGCAGATTTGACACTAAAGGAGATTGGAGTTTTGCGAAATAAGCTCGTTTTATTCCATGTCCCATTGGCATCAATGTCGTACCAATAATATAAACACAACTAGATGATTTGGTAGCGGTTACTTTGCTGTTTGGGAGCTAGCTATTTTATATGCCATTTTTACTGATTGACATTTTATACGTTTCATTTGTTACAAATTCTTACAGCAGGCAATGACATTTATCGATGACCACAAGATGGAGTCATCATTAAAGAAATGAATCAAGATGATTATACATAAGACACATCAATAAAATTAGACATAGTAGAGCCAAACAATGAATTAAACTTAATCATACAGCTGGTTCGCCCTTCTAGGACTCTTAAAGTAAGGTTAGGATCAAAATTTTGATTTTATTTATTTATTTTTCATTTTTAAAAAAGAAGAAATGGCAAATTCTTAATGGGGAAGTGCAGTATAGTTTTCTTTTAAGAGAAATGAATCAATTTTGGCGTTGTTGTTAGAGATACAGGATGGTTCTAATGGTAAAATGGAATATGGTGGTTGATTAATCAATGACTGCATCATGCCGATGTAGTATCAAACTGCTCCTTTGGTACCTCGGCATTTGCTTAGTTAATATAATGTCTCTGATTTCGTGTGTAGCTAATTGATCAGCTCCTTTTGCTTAGCCTGCGATGTATCGACCAGACAAGATCACTACTTCTGTGATGTGATGGATATGGCTACATATTGGATATTTCATGAAGTTCTATTTTTATGAGAGTTATGCTGTCTGTCGTTGAACATTAGTTTAATGAAAAGTCGTGATGTCAAGTATTTGGGAAATATTACATTTGTTCGACTCTTGTGAACGTGGCTTGTGGCATCATTGATGTCAATCTTATTCTCGTTTTAGAATGTGGCATTACCTACTTGGTTTGACCTAGATTATTATGTGTCGCGTTTCGTCGATGAAGCATAAGATTCTCATTACCCATGTTTTGCCCTAGTTTCGTTGGGTTTTGAAATGTTTTTCAACACATTTGTCCTCTAACATTATTGACGATTCCCAGAAATGATAAAGAAATATCGTTAACATAGTCTTAACTAAATTCCAATGAAACAACAGCAAAATAAGAACTAAAGAATGATTTACACGGAATTCCTTTAAAAGTACATGGAGGTTAAGACCAGATAGTCTCGAATGGTAAGCGTCTTTTGCTTCATCGACGACACATAACGACCTTGGTCAAACCTATTGGTAGTGTTACGTTTCCAAATGAGAACAAATTAATAAACGGAGCGACCATGCAAACTAACGAACATCAAACACGTCCAGCTTCTCATCACACAAAGAAATAAGGTATTTCTTAATGAGATTATAATGACCTTAAACTTCTTCATAACCCCCATCAATCAGTATCTCTTGAAACCTGCGTTTTGAGTTTGTCCATTAGTTGTCGATATCTTGCTCTAAAATTCTGATGTTGGAAACAGATCCCGAAATATCGAATCACATGCAAACACTATAGTATGCGGATGTATTGCTATCCAGTAAAGGAAAATTCACAGCAGAAGTATTGCAGTCATGACTTATCATACAGCTTGGTAGAAAGCTGTACATGATGGCTCCGTTGATGAAAATTATCGAGGTATGCGGCAGATGTAGAAGAGTTTGTCGTGTCATTGACTTTACAGCTCCTGTTTGTTTATACAAACAAAAGTTCTTTTTATGTTATTTAAAGACAAAACGTCAACAATCTATCAAAAAGTTCTTTCTGACCTGTTTTTCTATAAATTAATTCTCGTACGGCACCCCCTCCTCCCGCAGTAATAAATATAATAATAATTCAGTTTAGAGGTATCAGGATTACGTTATTTATATCTTACTGTGTTATGTTATAAATCAATCTATTTAAAGAATACAATACACGTATAAGGGATGCTATATATAGAATTTAAAACAGGTTTACAGTATTTCATGTTTGTATTCATAACGAGTTTAGGTTTAAAAGCAAATGATAATGTCATTAATCATATCATATTGTAATACACCAATAGCAATTAGTACGATTCAGTCTAATTCATTGTCTGTCTCTACTCTACTGTCTTTCACTCTTAATTGTGAAAAGACGCTATTCACTTGTGTGACTTTTCTACAATCTTTAATTCATTGTCTGCCTCTACTGTATTTCAGTCTAAATTGTGAAAAGACGCTATTCACTTGTGTGTCTTTTCTACAATCTTTAATTCATTGTCTGCCTCTACTGTATTTCAGTCTAAATTGTGAAAAGACGCTATTCACTTATGTGTCTTTTCTACAATCTTTAATTCATTGTCTGCCTCTACTGTATTTCAGTCTAAATTGTGAAAAGACGCTATTCACTTATGTGTCTTTTCTACAATCTTTAATTCATTGTCTGCCTCTACTGTATTTCAGTCTAAATTGTGAAAAGACGCTATTCACTTGTGTGTCTTTTCTACAATCTTTAATTCATTGTCTGCCTCTACTGTATTTCAGTCTAAATTGTGAAAAGACGCTATTCACTTATGTGTCTTTTCTACAATCTTTAATTCATTGTCTGCCTCTACTGTATTTCAGTCTAAATTGTGAAAAGACGCTATTCACTTGTGTGTCTTTTCTACAATCTTTAATTCATTGTCTGCCTCTACTGTATTTCAGTCTAAATTGTGAAAAGACGCTATTCACTTATGTGTCTTTTCTACAATCTTTAATTCATTGTCTGCCTCTACTGTATTTCAGTCTAAATTGTGAAAAGACGCTATTCACTTATGTGTCTTTTCTACAATCTTTAATTCATTGTCTGCCTCTACTGTATTTCAGTCTAAATTGTGAAAAGACGCTATTCACTTTTGTGACTTTTGTACAATCTTTATCATATGGATTTATTCCGAAAAGTTACCAACGAAGAATTTATTTTGCTCACATTTACAGTCTCCTCACAAGAATCCGTATTCTAACATTGTGTCTTTGTCGTCCTTCATCTTTTCCGTCATATTGTTTCTTAAATTATATTACTTTCGTCTTCAAGTAAAGTTTATTCTCATGATAATTGCAATAAATTGGCAATAATTCCTACAATATTTTCATCATTGAAGTCCATCATTATACAATGAAACCGCTGATAAAAGGTGCAAGTGAGTTGTTTCGACAAGTTTTGGGAATCATTATATCCAAATATAGGACTAAAATCCATATTTATGATTTTATTACAGCCGTAATACAATTGTATAAGTAAATTTAACCTCGGATGCTGTTATCGATTTTTTAACTATACCAAACACAGAGGTCCTATCAGAAACGTAATTTTGGCGTTGTAGTCTATCAATATAAATGTTTGATAATAGAGAAATTGGGAAGAAATTAAATCTGATTTATAAATCTATACATTTATAAATCTGAGACATTTATAGAAGATAAATTTTAATCTAGCTTTTATGCTGCTCAGAGAAGAATAATCAAGCTGATGACATTCAACAAGACAGATACATTGTTCAATATGACAAAAACAAAGTAAACTGACATATGTTAAAATTGTATGATTGATGTGTTAATCAGATCAACGGTTGACCTACAAGTTTCAAAAGGTATGTGCAATACTGGCCCTCCTCTAGAATATAAGTATTTACGTTATTGTAAATGAACGTTTTAATTAGAAGAGCTGTAAGAAGAGATGACTGGGTAACATTATAATTTATACATTTAACCTTTCAGGTCGACCTTGATGAAACGCAAGTCGATGCGTTTTTGGTTGTATACTCAACCAATGACAGACGAACATTTGAGGCAGCCAGTGACCTGCTGTACCAGCTCCGGCACGAGGTAGCCACGGACCGAGCAATTATCCTCGTGGCAAACAAAATAGATTTGGCGCGAAAACGTCAAGTCAGTGCCGATGGTAAGTTAACGATGTCATCCAACAGTGGAATAACTGAAAATATGTATTATTTAATGATATAGTTTGATCAGAGCACGTACATATCATAAGTAGGGGGTTATTACATAATCTAACACTGATAAATATACTTTAATTTACTGACATGGATTGACGAAGGTTTACATGATGGTTATCGTCTGTTAAGCAGAAGACGCTTACACTTTCAGAACACCTGGTCTTATTCTCCTTGTCATAGTTTTCCCTGACTTTATTGGCTTTGAGTTTGGATTATGATAATGTTGACATGGTGGTATTTTGTTGTTGGATTTTAAGAAAACAATGATAGAAAAACATATTCGAACAAAAACCCATTTTTCATTAGTAATGCCACAATCTGCACTTTCTTTTCAGAGGCTCGGTCTATTGCCGTCAAATTAGACTGTAAGTATGCCGAGACATCAGCGGCCTTAAACCACCATGTGGACGAGCTTCTAGTCGGCATATTAAAACAAATTAGACTCAAACTTTCACACGATTCATTAGGAGAAGAGGAAACCAAAAAAGGCAAAGAAAGGAAAGGTTCCTTCAAAGCTGCTAAAGGTTTACTCCACAAACTGTTTAGAAAGAGCAGTAGGAAGGAACGGTCATGTGACAACCTCCATCAATTATAGCGGAGATCAAGTATTGTGTGTGTATATATATATAATTTGTGACGGTTTCAGATCATAGTGAACTGAAAATATTGTAATAAAGGGTGCTTCATAATCTAGTGAAGATATTTCGCAACGTCATCGTCTGATAGTGTTGTTCCAACTTCAACATTCCGGGAAGTTGATTAATTTTCTATCCTCACGATATGGTGAAATACATTTGCCGATCCATGTTAAGAACACTATCATGTTAAACTCACATTCCGATCCTTTGGAAAAAAAACTTGTCTTTTACCTCAAGGTCAGATTGTAAGTTTATAGTGGAGTAACGTATCTGATAACATTGAACACAAAAGGAAAAGCGCAGAAACATTCCGAACGTTCTATTGATTACTTTTCGTATGGTGAGAACATTGTCTCCGAAGTGGATGTGTAAAGATGGATAGAAATTACCTCATAGATAAGCGTGCCATTGATAAGTGGAGCATTTGTTCAAACAGGTATTCAACAGATGATGTCAGATCATTTCTTTAACACATTTAGCGCATATAATTTTGGAACCACCAATAATAGTTTACAATTGTGTTAATCAGTATCAAAGTATGTTAGGCTTTGTGGCACTTTTTTTAAAGTTAACATTGTTTATTTCAAATGAAATATCTTTCATATCAAAATATTTGTAATAGTTCAAAGAATAAATGGATGTATTTTCACGGAAATATGAAACGGGATATGATTTTTTGCAATTTTTATTTTCGCCTTTGCTTTTTTCATTAGCAAAATATCGAAAATAAAAATCGCTTAAAATCAAAACTTGTAGAGTATATCATTTAGTTTATTACTTATAATCTGATCACAAATGAACAGTTATGCATCGTTAATCTCGGATTGAAATCAATTCGCACCTGGGCCACAGGTATCATACTTATATCGTTTGAAGAAAAATATTTCTATAACTTTAACTTATAAATTGTCCAATTCTAAATGATGTTTCAATATATTTACTATGTGTGTCTGTAGATACCGTCCCTTCTCTTCGATACAGGGTCTTCCCTTTAATATTGGTGGAATGAATATAAGAAATATTTGATTATCCAGACGATATGTTATTAATTTGATATAAAAACCTAATATTATTGTGTGCTCATATCTACATAGTTCATCTTTCCTGGAGACTTGGGTTCAGTATGGTTTTTAATGACGGAGTGATGACGTCATAAACCGTCCGATATATCTCCTTGTTGCCATTTCTTCCTGGGGGCACTGGGTCTTGATGACAAAACGATGACGTTATTACCATTTGGATATATATCCAAGAGACGCAAAGGTGACGTCATAAACCGTCCTGACATATCTCCTAATGATCATTCCTTTTCTGTTGTATACTAAATTATTCCACTTTTGGTTTGGTGTTTTCAATATATCTTTATGATTCTTGAATCTACTTGCATGGTATTCATTGATCATACCGAGATATTTATCACAAAAAAGTTAAGGTTTTGGCTAACTCAAAAAAGATTGTAAGCGTATTTGCTAACCAGTGAATGAGAGTACAAACTGTTTATATACCTGTGCTGTGATGTGTACACTTAATTTTAGTTTCTATATTGGTCTAATTGTATACATGGTGGTTGTGACAATTGTTAAGGGCACACGTTTACCGGCGGCTGCTATCAGGCGAGCCCAATATTCAGTGTTTTAATGATGATAGTTTTTAATGATAATTGAAAAGTGGAAATATGCTGTTTCTTGAAGAAATTATAACCAATTATATAACAACACAAAAATGGTGAAACTCTCGCTATGTGTTCATTTGATGCCCTTTTGCACTATGTTTATCAGGTATTAGAGGAAAGGAAAAGATTCAGTGAACTATATGAAATTCTACATTCCATGAATAAGCCGATTATAAATTTATCTTGTACTTACATAACTGTAGGTCAAGGTCAAAATAGGACGACATTTAGGCCAAAAGAGTTTTTTTTTTTTTTTTTTTTTGATGTTATCAGTTCGGTTTGTATTTGTACCCCAAACCCCGTTATGGATTATCATGATGAAGTTGAAAATGATTAAAATTGATTATATCTAGTTGATAATGGACATACTTTGTACTATAATATATGTCATTGTATATGTCATTGTTATAAACGTATTTGTCTAATATAGTTCTAATCATTTACGTTTAAATGTATTTTCTTTTGCTGTACAGTGTATACGGATATGAGTATATCAATCATTATGAATTATGTAATTCAAATAGTGAATAAAGAAAAAATATACAGTATTACAGAGAATAATTGGAGTTTGGCATGCTTTCTATATTGGCTTGAACGTCGTTAAAGTGAATTTGGCGTTATGACACCACTGACACAGCGATGCGCTTGTAATGTGCTTAGTAATCACTACATGGCTGTAATCCATTGTTATATCAGGCCAATGTGACATAAGTATACCTGCGGGAAAGACACATCCTTATTAATTACAAAGCTGCCCCGAACCGGAAATTGATAAAGTAAGTGTATATAGTGTATTCCAGGCATTGCTGTCTCCAAGGAACAAAGACCTCTCTCTGAACAAATTTATACCGGGTCCAAATACTCCATACTGTTTAGCTTGACAACATACCGTCAGTTCAGTTCCTACAATGTGCGTAAGAAATATAAAATTCAAAAATAGTGTTAAAGAATATTTCAATTAAGGTCGTCAATAATTATATTAATATTGATTAGAAAAAGAAATGATTTAACGTAATTAACAAAAGCCTTATGGTATTACAATTAATTAATTAAATGTAATTATGAAAAATTTAATTATTATGATCATATTGTAATGTATATTGACAGAACCTGAATACTTTATTGGGTAAGTCAAATTATGTCCACGTTAAGCAATAAACATTAAGCAGGTGTTCGTTACTAAGCCAAAGAAATATTAGTCTAAACAAAATGAAATTTATAAACATTTGTACTATTTATCTAAACAACAAAACAACAAGAAAATACCAACATGTCAACGCAATTTTAATCCAAACTCGATTTCAGTAAAAGTAGGGCAAAATATGAACAAAAGAAGTACATGGATAATAAGACATGTGTCCGAAGATTAATACATGCATGTTCGAGGTATAGTGGTTTTTCTTACCTGTCATTGTCCCTTTTCCTTCTCACTCTCACACAATACAAAATATTATGTCAAACACTTAGAAATTAATTCTGCTTTGCTTTATATATATGTATGGAGTATATGTACATGCAGTTTACAATATGGTATCTAAACTAATCAAAGCTTAGAGTGTTGCAATTTAGTTCCGCCGTTGTCTTATTTTCTTTGTACTGTTTCAGGAGTCTCTGTGAAAATTGTATTGGAGTTTGGATTATGATAACGTCGACATGTTGATATTTTTCTTTTTTTTTTAAACAAGGGTAGATACAAAACTGATATCTCTTCAGTGCTATTGGCTTGTATTAAGTTCATCAAGGTTTTATTATCTTCAAATGACCCACTTCTATCTGCCAGGCCTCAAAATATACTTAATAGTACCTCACAGATGAATCCTCGAAGGACGAAACTGCTGTATAGTGCAATTTGATGCATTTCATTCTGTTGAATCTACTTATAAAAGTGTATTGAAATTAAGGCGCTTTCTCCTATGTTCATTTTCAATATTTAAGATAACCCTGCTTGTATGATACTATCCAGTTTACCGAATTCAAATGCCTGCCGCCATGGTAAATATTAGATTGCTTGTAAATGGTCAACTGATCTTATAGAACAGATCACTATTCAGAACCACACTGACTTCTATCAACACATGTGACTTAACTGCATGAAAATGGTAACATTAGATTTGGTCTTACGAAATAGGGTATACCATATGAAACCTAATGCTCCACATCTGTCCTCAAGGAGCCAGACATGTATTCTAATAACAGTATACAAACTATGTGTCGCTATTATTAGCGAAATCAGATTTTCTATTTCGCCAGTGTAACGTTGAAGATAGATGCATGGTCCATTTTCAACGGGGATTAATTTTTAACGGTACACCGGCAGTAAATTTGTTCCTGTATTACACTCAGTGACATTCTGACAGATAATTTTGACGTGCATAACATCATTATCCAAATGAGGAGTTATTAGTCATCAATATCTAAAGTAATGAGGATTAATTAGTGTTTTTGTTAATTTGCTGCTGGTTGTTTTAAACAAATCAATAAGAAGAGTCTAGGTTCCACTGCTAACCTTAAACCTCAAGTAATGAGTTCTCACTCTCTGAGATGATGCATTATTAATACTAAGGTATTTGTCCAGTGTAAACGAAGTTATAAATACATCGACATCTTGAAGGAAAATAACTTTTTAAATTAGACCATAGGCTGATATCATAGTTATGAAAACAGTTCAACATACAGAACGAATATGAAGGCAAACGGACAGATATAAAGAACCTGGATAGATACATTGTATGTACAAGTCAAAACATGGGGGAAATCTTGTGTGTGAGTTTAGTCTAGACACAACACAGAATATATGCACCACTTTTATATATATTTAGAATGGGACGAAGCTTGACAAAATGCATTGAGATTTCTTTACAGTATATTTTCTTTGGATTCCTTTTACATCTACGCATCATGGTTAACATTTTAATAATGGTTGAATAAAATGAATTAGATACGACAATGAGATATTCATTAAAGATTAATGTTCCCCAATCATTACCAACCCATGCCACCGATAAAAAAAACTAAGGCATTGTATGTCCCAGACAGAAACGCAGTTGCATATATATTAAAGCTTGTCCCCAAAAACACTTAAGCGCAGCATTGATTCACTTTCCACAACGAATAAATTATTTACATACGATATTATGTTGGAAGAGGCAATTCCACTTCTAGGTGACAAAGCGCTTAACATTGGTCATAAATGATTCAAAACAACAGTAGAAATATTGTATTTATTATGCTAAGGTTATGTATCCCCACAGGAGGTGGGTGTAAATACCAGAGTACTAAAAATAT